GGGATTTTTAAAAAATTTTTTGGGATTTTTTTTGGAGTTTTTTGGGGAATTTTAGTGAATTTTAAGGGGATTTTTCTTTAATTTTTGGGATATTTTTGAGGGTTTCTTGGGAAATTTTTGGGAATTTTTTTGGGAATTTTTTGGGGATTTTTAGGGGCTTTTCAGGGAATTTTGGGGGGATTTTTTGAGGATTTTTTTGGTTTTTTGTGAGGAAGTTTTGAGATTTTTGGGAGATTTTTTTGAGAATTTTGGGGGGATTTTTTTGAGAATTTTTTGGGAATTCTTGGAGTGTTTTTTGGGAATTTTTTGTGGATTTTCAGGGAATTTTGGAGGGATTTTTTTGGGATTTTTAGGGAATTTTAAGTGAATTTTTGTTTAATTTTGGGGATTTTTTTGAGGATTTCTTGGGAACTTTTTGGGAATTTTGGGGGAATTTTTAGGGGATTTTCAGGGAATTTTTTGGGGGGTTTTTAAGGGATTTTAAGGAGATTTTTGTTTAATTTTGGGGATTTTTTGGGGGATTTCTTGAGAACATTTTGGGAGTTTTTTGGGGGAATTTTGGAGGGATTTGGGATGGGGATGATCCCAAATTTCCTTTGGAATTCCGGCAGCTTTTCATCACGGTCATGGACAAACTGCGCCTGGAGATCCGCGCCATGGACGAGGTGGGTGTTCCCAAAAATTCCCAAAATTCCCACAATTCCAATCCCAAAAATTCCCAAAATCCCACACCCAAAAATTCCCAAAATCCCCCAATTCCGATCCCAAAAATTCCCCAAAATCCCACACCCAAAAATTCCCCAAAATCCCACAATTCCACACCCAAAAATTCCCAAAATCCCACAATTCCACACCCAAAAATTCCCCAAAATCCCCCAATTCCAATCCCAAAAATTCCCCAAAATCCCACAATTCCACACCCAAAAATTCCCCAAAATCCCACAATTCCATTCCCAAAAATTCCCCAAATCCCCCAATTCCAATCCCAAAAATTCCCAAAATCCCCCAATTCCAATCCCAAAAATTCCCCAAATCCCACACCCAAAAATTCCCAAAATCCCCAAATTCCAATCCCAAAAATTCCCAAAAATCCCACAATTCCACACCCAAAAATTCCCAAAATCCCACAATTCCATTCCCAAAAATTCCCCAAAATCCCCCAATTCCACACCCAAAAATTCCCAAAATCCCACACCCAAAAATTCCCCAAAATCCCACAATTCCAATCCCAAAAATTCCCAAAAAAATCTCCACAAAAGCCAGAAAAAATCCCCTGAAAAAAACCCAGAAAAATTCCCAAAAATCCCAAAAAATCCCCAAAAAATCCCCAAAAATATCCCCAAAAATCCCATCAAATTCCCAAAAAAAATCCCCACAAAATCCCGAAAAACCCCCCAAAAAAACCAAAAAAAATCCCCAAAAAATCGCCCAAATCCCAATAATTCCCAAAAAAGATGCCCAAAAAGATCCCAAAAAATCCCATAAAACTTCCAAAAAAAAACCCCCATAAAATTCCCTAAAAATCCTCACAAAAATAAGAAAAAACAAAAAAATTCCCCAAAAATCCTCCCAAAAATCCCCAAAATCAAAAAAAATCCCGAAAAATCAAAAAAAAACCCTAAAAAATCCCAATTCCCAAAAAAATCCCCAAAAATATCCCAAAAAATCCCGTGAAATTCCCCAAAAAAATCCCCATAAATTCCTTAAAAATCATCACAAAAATCTAAGAAAACCCCCAAAAAAATCCCCCCAAAATTCCAATAAATCCCAATAAAATCTGAAAAAAAATATCCCAAAAAAATCCCATAAAATTCCCCAAAAAAAGCCCCATAAAATCCCAAAAGTTCAAAAAAAAATCCCAAAAATTCCGCAAAATCCCACGCCCAAAAATTCCCAAAATCCCCCAATTCCACACCCAAAAATTCCCCAAAATCCCACAATTCCACACCCAAAAATTCCCAAAATTCCAATCCCAAAAATTCCCAAAATCCCCCGATTCCGATCCCAAAGATCCCATGAAATTCCCCAAAAAAATCCCCATAAAATTCCAATAAATCCCAATAGAATCTCAAAAAAAAATCCCAAAAAAATCCCATAAAATTCCCCAAAAAAAGCCCCAAAAAATCCCAAAAGTTGAAAAAAAATCCCAAAAATTCCCAAAAAATCCCAAAAAATCCTCCCCAAAATCCCCAAAACCAAAAAAAGAAATCCCAAAAAAATCCCAAAAATTCCCAAAAAAATCCCCAAAAATCCCAAAAAAATCCCCAAAAATTCTCAAAAAAATCCCACAAAAAATCCAAAAAATTCCCCCCAAAAATCCCAAAAAAATTCCCAAAAACTCCCATAAAATTCCCAATAAAATTATAGAAAAATACCCCAAAAATCCCAAAAATTCCCAATAAAATAAAAAAAAAATTCCAAAAAAATCCCAAAAATTCCCGGAAAAATTCCCCAAAAATCCCAAAAAAATCGCAAAAAATTCTCAATAAAATCCAAAAAAATCCCACAAAAAATCCAAAAAATTCCCCAAAAAAATTCCCAAAAATTTGTCAAAAACTCCCATAAAATTCCCAATAAAATTATAGAAAAATACCCCAAAAATCCCAAAAATTCCCAATAAAATAAAAATAAAATTCAAAAAAATCCCAAAAATTCCCGGAAAAATTCCCCAAAAATCCCCAAAAAATCCCAAAAAATTCTCAATAAAATCCAAAAAAATCCCACAAAAAATCCAAAAAATTCCCCCAAAAAATCCCCAAAAATTTGTCAAAAACTCCCATAAAATTCCCAATAAAATTATAGAAAAATACTCCAAAAATCCCAAAAATTCCCAATAAAATAAAAAAAAAATTCCAAAAAAATCCCAAAAATTCCCGGAAAAATTCCCCAAAAATCCCCAAAAAATCCCAAAAAATTCTCAATAAAATCCAAAAAAATCCCACAAAAAATCCAAAAAATTCCCCCAAAAAATCCCCAAAAATTTGTCAAAAACTCCCATAAAATTCCCAATAAAATTATAGAAAAATACCCCAAAAATCCCAAAAATTCCCAATAAAATAAAAAAAAAATTCCAAAAAAATCCCAAAAATTCCCGGAAAAATTCCCCAAAAATCCCCAAAAAATCCCAAAAAATTCTCAATAAAATCCCAAAAAAATCCCACAAAAAATCGAAAAAATTCCCCCAAAAAATCCCCAAAAATTTGTCAAAAACTCCCATAAAATTCCCAATAAAATTATAGAAAAATACCCCAAAAATCCCAGAAATTCCCAATAAAATAAAAATAAAATTCAAAAAAATCCCAAAAATTCCCGGAAAAATTCCCCAAAAATCCCCAAAAAATCCCAAAAAATTCTCAATAAAATCCCAAAAAAATCCCACAAAAAATCGAAAAAATTCCCCCAAAAAATCCCCAAAAATTTGTCAAAAACTCCCATAAAATTCCCAATAAAATTATAGAAAAATACCCCAAAAATCCCAGAAATTCCCAATAAAATAAAAATAAAATTCAAAAAAATCCCAAAAATTCCCGGAAAAATTCCCCAAAAATCCCCAAAAAA